TTATAACAAAATACTGGCATTCAACTTTGTTTTCTCTTAGGATTCCAAGAAAAACAGAGAAAAATCTGCAGACCTAATTGTCAGGTCCTGACCTAACATAAACTCCTGCATATTAGACCTGTGGGTCCAGAAGAACAGAATTTTTTTCTTTAAACATTAACCTACCTCAGCTCAGGCTGCATTCTCTAAAATCCAACAACTATCACAGCAGACTCTTATATATGACTTTACTCCTAGCTGATACATTAAACTAAACTTACAGTTGTCAATTATCTTTGAGAATGTAAAGCATAAATAACAGTAATAGAAGAAAAGGCAAGATATCTCTTCTTCCAAATTATATGAGACTGAAATATTTTTTAGTAATTAAAATTTTTTTTCAACCATTCTCAAAATATTTGCCTCAAGTAGTTGACTTATCAGGATAAAATTATCTTCATAAAAACCCTCTGGTTTTGTTTCAAAATTTACTAAGTTTACCTTCATTTCAAGGTAACTTCGTTTATTTAAAAGACCTCAAATACATCACTCAAACTGGTGCCAAATATTATATTCTAGGGTTGTTGCACAGATGCTAAAATGCTAATATCTGGTAAGCTCTACACCGTTTCAAACAAGGTCGTTAGGTAATCAAGTGGTTGCTAACCAATTAAGAGATGTCAAATTTCATAAAGGTTTTATCTAAAAACTACTACTAAGAAGCTTTACATGCCCCCTTCAAAAAAAATCAGCTTTACAAGATGAGAAAAACTAAGATCCCCAGAAATACAATTTGCCCAAAAACACACCATCGAACTCGTGCTTATCTGGACAGACACATAATGTACAGATCCCAGTTTTAATTCACATTGACTATAATGTCCTCATATAAAATAAAAGCGATGGGTAGAAAAGTGTATCAAATTCTGTCCAAACAAAATATATTAAAGAAATGTCCTGTTGTATTAATCAGTCTTTCCACCATACTGCCTCTGGGATTTTGTTCAACCTTTATCTGTGCTGATATCATCACAATGTACTGAAATTGTTTCATCTTTACCAATGTTATGCACCCAAGAGAAGGATCGGCTCAGCTCCTTAGGGAGGGGGGACCCCCTCATTCATTTATTAAGCACCTACATATAATATACGCCAACACTGACACAGCAGGTGCTCAACAGATGGCCATTTATCGAAACAAACTTGTCATCTATGTGATACACGATATTTTCTCAGAGGTACACCTCACAGCACTACTAACAAATGAAATGAAGATCATATGATTTAGACCAATTTGCATAGGTACAGGTCACATTTGGTTTCTCCTAACAAATGCTTCCTCTTTAGAAAATTCCTCAAATTCTTGAAACAGAAAGCTTAAAAAAAACAAACTTCCATTTGGAAGGCCATAAAAATACATAGGAAGTGAAATCCATTGGTCTGGACAAAAATCAGAGGATTATCAACAGGGGACATTTCCTCATGCTTGGTAGCAGCTAGTGCATTTTGAAAATTACAACATACCAGCCAAACAAGCTTTACTGTCTCTGAACCAGACACTGCTGTGTGGCCAAGCTGACTTGCTCTAAGCAAGTTGATCAAGAATTACTATGGCAGGAATTCACACAGAAGACAAATTAAAACAAATGGGAACTAGTATTAAATTTCCTTTGCGTGACAGGCACACCTATAGCCAGGACTCAAGCATTACAAAAATAATCCATGTAACCTAAAACATACACACCTCTTAATATTTTGAAATTAAAAAAAAAAAAATTTCTAATGGACAATAAAACTTCAGAAGAGTTGGGGACAAGTGGAAGAATGAGGATATTTTCCGAGTCCTCCATATCTAAAACTGGCACAAGAACTATGGGGAGGCCAGGCGTGGTAGCTCACGCCTGTAATTCTAGCACTTTGGGCGGCCAAGGTGGGAGGATGGCTTGAGGTCAGAAGTTCAAGACCAGCCTGGGCAACAGCGAGACTTCCTGTCTACAAAACAAAAAAGTAGCCAGGTATGGTGTCGCATGCCTGTAGTCCCAACTATTTGAGAGGCTGAGGCAGGAGGATCACTTGAGCCCATGAGTTTGAGGTTGCAGTGAGCTGTCATGACATCACTGTACTCTAGTCCCGGCAACAGAGAGAGACTCTAATCTCAAAAAAAAAGTATAAGGGAAACAAGTAGCGTTTAGTTCTCAATCACACAAAGAATTTGCTACAAATTTTGTTTCTGCCCTGCTGGGTCCTTTTTTGTCTGGTAGAGGAAACAAATCCACTCTTCAATGCTAGGTCTTGGTTTGTTCCTCTCACCCAGAAAGATAGTGTCTTCTAACACCCTTTCTGGACACATATCAGCCTATTTTAAAATATGCCCAATGACCTGCTTAAAAAAAAATTCAATCCCCACTTGCTCTTACTACAACTACTCAAAGCAGCTGGGACCAAATGGAGTTAGGAGTGGTAAGAATCAATAAGAGGCCCAGAGTGGAGAGGAGAGACCCAGAAAAGACCTACCTGGAAACAATTCATCACTGAGTGAAGAATCTAAAGAGGGGTCCAACGAATAGTTACGTCTGATCAGGTGAAAAGACAGCAGTTTCCTCATCACCAAGCCTTCTCCTCTGGGAAGTGAGACTCCAAGGGGCGGGGGTGACCTGAGCAGCCTTTTATAAGGGGCGGGGCTAAGGATTCCCAGTCTTTGTATCCTGCCATGCAGCTTGGTTTGCATAAATGAACATGGGACTTGTTTATATTAGTGGTTGCTTCCACCAGGTCTGAAAAAGCATCATCTCCATTGTCCCTGAAACTCCTAGAAAGTGACATAATAATGAAAGATGCTGTTGACAACAGCAGCTCACACTCACTGAGTACTTGCCAAGTCCTAGGCCCTCTATCCCAGTAACTCACTTTATACAACAGTCCGAGGAGATAGGAACCATGAGCCTCTCCTTGTTGTAGACGAGCAAAGTAAGACAGAGAGCAGCTTGTTTAGGGACACAAAGTTAGCATGTGTTAGAACCACAACCCGAACCCAGGAAATCTGACTTCAGAGCCTAGACTCTTCATCATTTGCTGGAGACACGGTGTCCGATAAGAACATAAAACTCCCCACTTAGGAATTATTGGTTCCTCCCTTCACCTGGGGGATGGTCCTGAATTTGGTCCCTTTTTAGATCTCCACACCAGGTGTCAATTCTCCAGACAGTACTGGCCTGCTCCACTCAGGTCCTCCCCACACTTCCTCTCCCTGGCTGAGCTTCACTGGAAACAGGCTGTGACATTCAGCCCAGGTGTTTCAAGAAGCCCCAGCGGTGCTAAGGGCAAAAAAAAAAGAAGAAGAAAAAAAAATTGGAGACTGGCTTCCTCTTGGGACATGCTAGCTCTCACGTTGCCAGCCCACTTCAGTACAGAGAGGTGTCACCACACGCAAGCAGGACAAGAAACCCCACCAAGGGCTGGGACTGCGCCTCACTACCCTGCAGGCCTGAGCCCACCCCAGCAGACATGAGTTATTCCAGCTGCTCTGGTTTCACAGTTTCCCTCTGGAGCTAGTTGTTGAAAAGAGAATCTGGGAAGAAAAGCATCACCTTTTCACATCGCCAAGCAGCATTAATGCCCCTCGACAGAAAGAAGCAGGAAACCTGTCTCCTCATACAAAAGGAAAGGAAAAACCAGGAAATGGAAAGGCTCCCGGAAGCACCCCCCATACCTAACTCACCCTGCACCGATACCTGTGCAGTTATCACTCTAGGAAGCCCTGGCATTTGCTCTGCTGGCCTTGGCTGCCACGTCCCACTGTGCAGAAAGCTGAGGCCGGTGGGTCTCAAGTCCACCCATGAGCTAACACATGGCTCCTGAATGCTCCTTTGCCTTGTGTTGATCTTGCAACAGAATGTGGGACGGAAGACTTTAAAAGCTATGCAACGGGGGAAGGGCAGCCAGATCACCTTACCCTAAGGCTTCTCAATCAAGCCTGCTTAGACTCCCTTCAGGGGCCAGTATTACTAGCTTCACAGGAGCTTTTCCCAAGCTGGCACTAAAAGAGCACATGTTCCACCTGGGGGGAGGGCGAGCGTGCGGAGAATGGAGGCAAAGCACACACCCTCTCACCCTGCACAGGACAGCAATGCCTTCCTTACTCCACGCTGAGCTCCACAGGCTCAGATAAGTGGGGGTGCCAGCTGGGTACACCCTGGGGACACAATGGCTGGAGGCTGTTCCTGCAGAAACTGAAAAGGAAGGGAAAGCAATGGGAGGAGCCCAAATTAAAGTGACCGTGAGGTCATGGACCCAGACCCCGTCAGCGCCCAGAGATGTCCTTCGCTGTGTCCATGGCCTCCAGCCTCACTGGGCGTACAGTGGATCAGGCAGGATAACCCTGGAGATCTCCTCCAAGCCCACGGCCAGCCCCACCCTTAGGGCCTGCAAATGTTACTGCCATAGAACCTTGTCCCTCTTTCACAGATGGGGAAACTGAGGCATGCAGAACAAATTACCGTGCTTTCCCAAACCGGGTTGAAGTTCACTTCTCTAGCCGCAATTTTGCACTTTTTTACAGCTTTATTACATTTCAAATTTCTCCAGATACACCGACTGCTGTTGCAAAGTGAATGTTAAATACAATCGAAGGACTGAACTCAAAATGGGATGAGGGCAGTCAGGGAGTCCAGCAAGGCTTTATTTACAGCAAGAAGGGGATGGGTGCCCCCCACGTCCAGCTCATCCCCCAACCCCCTCCCCCGGGACGTCCGGGTCCGGTCGCCCCCCTCCCCCATAAGCCGCTTCCACTGCACCCCGAGGGCCGGGGAGCAGCAGCGCGGCCCGGGGTCGCCGAGCCGGCTGCGAGGTCCCGGGGCCGAGAGGAGCGGGGGACTCGGGCCCCTCCTGCGGCCGCCCGCCCGGCCCGGGGCCGGGAACTTCGGGCTGCGCGGCCCCCGCCGCGGGGCGTGTGTGCAGCTGGGGCTTCCCTTTCTTTGCCTCGCCGCGCCGCGGGCGCGACCCCGGGCGGCGGCGGCACTCACCATATTACAGATGGAGGCGATGTTTCGGACAGTCATTAGTCTAAAGGTAGCAGCGACCCCGCACCGCCATCTTTACGAGGTGAAAACCGGGCTGTCCATGGCGAGCGCTCGCGGGGAGGCCGGCGGCGCGGCGCGGCGGCCC